ACTTCCTGCTGTCACAGAGTTGGATGGGCCACCCCGGGGCAATTGTTTGTGAATGACCTCACTCATTAGACATCAGTGTGTTTCATTAGTGGCTGCAGCATCTCGTTATTGTCTCCATGTTACAATAGAGGATTATCTCTCTGTCACAACAGACAATTACCTGTGTCTGTTCCGGTCATAAGTCACCAGGGTCAATATTATAAGATCATTTTGCTGGAATGTTTATAAAAATATGTTGTCAAGAAATGACATGTTGCCTTTCTAGAGTATATTGATTAATGATTATGTCTTTATCTTTGACATGCCTAATTGATTTTATCCCCGGTGACATTCCAGATGTGAGTAGTGGTATATTTTTTAGGAATACTCACGTTAGTTCTGCAGGATAGTTCTTCTGCACGTTATTCTATAAGAACTACTCATACAGGAACATGGTTCGCCCCCCACCCTCTCTTGGCATACATTCCAATTCTCAAAATTTCAAAATTACTATATAAGCATCCCCTAAAACCCCCCTCCTGGGTTGCAAAAATCACTTTTTCCCCTTTCGGAAACACATTAAATGGCCTGGCCGGGCCCGTGTGCGACATACGCTTACAGTCGGAAAGCACACGTTAAATCTCTAATAGAAGTAAGTAACATGGTACTGGGTTTATAATATCTTAAGCTTTCAAAACATTTGAGGCTGTTAACAGCATTGAACTTTGTAATGATATAACAAATAATTTTACTTTCCTTTTTTTAAACTGATATCTTTTCATTAATAAGTAGTTCTTGCAGTTTAAAGAAGTTCCTGTGGTCACCACTATGAAGACCCGCTACACTACTACTTTGTTGCAATTATGATCAAATTAGAAGCAATTCATTGTCTTACATAAACGGGTATGATATTAATAAAGTACTTTACGGATGTGAAGGCCAATCATCTGAAGCAAATAAAGAAATTCTTCTATCTGTCCATACTAGCATCATAAAGCTGGTAGATATAAACTTATATAATACCCCAAACCCTCACATATCATATATAGGTATCTTGTGTACATTATGTAGTACTTCATATTACGTATAATCCCATCATTCTGACTATCAAAACCAGACACTGCTGATCATGCTTGACAACTGACCACCAAGGTATTTTTGTGTGTAAGTATTATGTATACACCTTACCTATCTTTGCTACCTGATTTCTATGTAGGGAGAGGTATTAAACTAAGTGCTGTCTTGCTTACCGATTCTAATTTTCAGTTGAAATAAAAACAATTTTAAACTAAACTAAACTTGTCCATGAAAACATTTCTTAATGATAATTGTAATTTATCTAGACTTGGTTTAGTATGATCCAGACATACCTAGGCTTTTAGTAAAATTAATTTGAAAAATATATGAATTCCACAGTAATGACACAGGACTATTCAAGAAGTTGGGTGTGATCAGAATTATGATTTTTTAAAACATTTCAGTATTTAAAGATGGACATTGAAACATTACCACGTTGAGTGGTACTCATCTCCACTGTGCATATTTTTTGTGAGAAAGGTAAAGTTTCTCCAGCTGCCTTCCTCTTCTGGTAAAAAGTGGTTACAGGTTTGAAAATTTGCAAAAGGATATGATACCTTTAAAGGTTCGAATAAATATCGTTCCACCCCAAAATGAGATTTAATAGAATTTTAAAATCTACCTGTTTACAGTTGGGTTAATGTGACAGTCTGAGTACCTGTTGGTTTGTATGACAAGTGGTTCTATGTGCACACATTGTACACCTTTCCCACGACACACACTCCTTTGTGTGAACCTTCCGTCATATTTGCACTCTTTCCCTCTGTAAGTCTAGGATTTCACTTGTGTGAAATTACATCTCATTATTTTATATTAATGGCAATGGTAGTTTATGATCCTAAACGTTTCCCTGACATATCAAGTGTTTTGACACTCCGCCCAGGTGAGCTTCTCGCCAGCAATATGTCCGCGCGCCCGTGAATGGCTGTTATTCCATAATTTGTCCGGTGTCTTTGTCCCAGGGCATCCACAGTTTCACAGAAAAGATTTATGTCTTTCAGGAAGGTTAAAGACGGCCTGTAATTTCTGAGTTTATTGGGGAGCTAACAGGCCATGGATTATTTGTCATACTTAAGACATTGCTGTACACCATAGTTAGATCTGTCCATACCACAATAGACACGGAAAACATTAGGGGTGTCATGAAACACAAGTTGCCATTATGGAAGTTGAGTCAGTAAAGGGTGATTTAACTTAGTGCATAGTGCCAAGATGATGGTTGTTTAATGTGGAATTGATTCGGTTGGAGTAGCGGGGTGGAAGCGCCATCTATCTGACGGACGTGTGCTGGTGAGGCTATGACATCACATCGACATAGGTCGGCAGTCATGTGGAAGCCTGTTCAGATTGTCACTCTCTGCGCAATGAGGCAATGGCTGGTAGCCCAGTGGTTAAAGCCCATGCTGGGTTGAATCTCAACATGGTGCACTGTAGGAAGTTAGTCCCCAGCTGTTATATTCCTGAAATATTGCTAAAAATTACTTCAAACTCAACCGACACATTCAATTAGGCAGGGCGGATACACTCACACAAAAGTTAATGGCCTACTTGGGATCCCTTTAATATTTCCATGTTCTCTTATCTCCATGCGTATCACCGACTATGAATATCAACACACAGGGAGACCTACCAGATATCACCAAAGTTTAATTACTAAAAATCATAAAAAAATGCCTGAAATGTAATGTTTTGATGAAGATAAATTTAGAACTAGAAATTACACGAAACCAACAGTAGTATTTGAAGACATACATCAATTTACATGAGGTTAAAAGGTTAAAATGAACCGTGGTAAAAATTAATCTAATTTGTTTGAGTAAGAAGAATAGTGGCTACTGTAGCGTGTGAAATAGATGTGAAAAGAACTAAACCAGTTTCATCATAGAGTCTAGTGTAGAGGAATTAGTTTGTGCCCATTAGAAAGATATGACCTGATTAGTTTGATTCTCAGAACAGGTTTCCAGTTGAAATCTAGAATGAAGTCCACTCAGTAGCATGAGTTCATTTCGGAAATTATTTGCAGCTGAAAACCGTGCGGCAGTCCAATGTTAATTTGATTATACCTGAGAAAATTGTTTTGAAAATTATTAAGAATGTAGAAATATTTTCCATTGATGGGGTAACTTGAAAAATTGATGTTTGACATGCCAACTGTCAACGGAAGCCCAAAATAAGGAAGTAAAATTGTGAAGAATTACACCAATTAAATAATAAATATATGTGTCTCCAGAAATATCGTCCAGTAGAGAAAACAAGGAATATTTGGCTTCAGTGATTTCAAGTATCTCTGGTAAACCACCCTTGCACAACAGCAGAAAGCCAACTACCAATCCCTTCACTTGGGAGCTGCATAGACAGGATTGGGCGGAACTAGAAGCATTTTACTTTTTTCAAATCAAACACTTCGCATCACCACAATGCAAACAAAGTGGAAGATCTTTGAGAAAAACATGCATCAAATCTATCTGAGAGCAAGGAGTTGACAAGATTGAACCACGATGACAACACCTTTGATCAGATGTGCACAAACTTCCACCACCATTTTTTGTGTTTTCTATTTCTCGGAAATTGCCCTCCAATGTTGCTATGTTATTTGCCGCCACAAGGCCGCAGCTTCGTTGTCGAAGCAACATCGTCCACTGTGTTCTGGGAGCAGCGTGAGGTAACCTTGATCAACACCAAACTAACCTGAGCACCAGGACAATTCTAAACACGAAGCTGGGCCACACCACTATCAAAACAGGAGGAACTCGGATCCTCCTCAAGGACTCGATATTTCTTTTTCAAAATGTAGCCTTTCAAGTTTTCTTCAGGTGTCACCTTGAAAGCATTTCATCTCTAACACAGTCATCTTTAATGTCATCATTGTCAGGCAAATGCACATAAGATTACAACCTGATTCTATTCAAGTTAAGTGGATGACGGTAAATTCCTTTGTTTGAAATACACTTTAAATACCACAGAGGTTTAGTACCACAAGTGATTAAATACCAGTAAAACTGGATTTTTATTAGATTTTATATTTTAAAGAATATTGACTCGTCCAGTCTTTAGGGTAATTGCCTCAATAAAATAAATCTTTAAATTTAGATTTGCATATCATATGCATGTAACTAAATATAGCCTTTAAAAGTTGTCAATTGAAAGATACAATCGGTCGGACAATGCTGACGAGTTACAGAGATTATATGGTCAACCAACTGTGAACTGCGATGATTGAGAGAGAAGTGAAACAGTGTTCCACCCACAATGCAGTATCAGGTACCCCTAACGATGGACTGTGACACGGCCATGGGAGGGAGCCCTTTGTGGAGCTTGTGGAAGGGAAGGGGCTATTGTACAGCAGGGATTCCACACATGGTGGCGAGACAGGGGCTGTAAGGGGTCAACGGGTCCAACATTTAAAACACAATAGCCACGGTTACCACTGTCAGATTATCCGCAGCCTCCAATCACGGCTTATTGTGCGGAAAATCACATATTTATTGATACTGATAGACTTGTTATGTGTTTGTGAGCCAGCTGATTGCCATGACTGTGGACTTGCCCCGGCTCTATCGGTTGATGAATAAAGGCCCCCCAGGATACAACAGTGATAGGAACAAGTCCATATCTTACTTACTATTGTGACATACGCTACTAGACACTTCAGTTTCCACAGATACCCAGTCCCTTCTACAGGCAAGACAGTTAATTTGTTTGTAGTCAGGACAAATACTTAAACATGTACACACACTCGGTTATAATTTCAGCTATAATAAAGCTGGTGTCAGGAATGTGCCTGGTATTTCATCTAGCCGTCGATCAGCCGTTATTGAGCATGAACACGCAGGTAGATTTTCTACAGCAAGTGATTTCCGACTCGGTGACAAGTCTTGTTTCCCCTTTGTCAATATTCTCTGTCTCCCCATGACAATATTCTCAATTGTCGGGTTGGTACTTACGTGTAATGAATGTATCCTCACTGACAGGTGTATCCCACAATCCACTGCATGTGTATCACATGTACCCCGACTGACCGTGAGCACATACCTGTACTGTGGACGTCTGCTCAGCCTGTAGAGCTCAGCCTGTGGTGCGAGTAACTGGCGAGGCAGCAAGAGCGAGCAAGCAAGCGATCAGCTCCCTCGTGACTCTGTTGTTACCTGTGCCCCGTTAAGGTACGGCCTCACTGGAGAACCCGCAGAGCCCTGAAGACGACAGACGGTAGCGATTTGACTTGACCTATATCGAGACCAGCTCAATGTCTCAAAACATATTGTGTGTTTTCCTTTCTCAGGAAAAATTCAACAGAATCTAAAAAGACCTAGCCCTGCGTAAGAAAGTGGGTGAAAGGGCACAACAGAATTGCTTCTTTATTGAACAGGTGAAATCGGTTGCTACTGTAACAATATGACGGATTACAGTCTTGTGAATGAACCCTCTCGTGCTACTTGTTGCCTGGTGAAATCAACTTGCCCAGAAATAAGTCCCTTTTTTTTCTAAATTTGTAATTCTTTTGTACGTTTATGATCAATAATGATATTTCACTGTTGATTAAGTGATCTTTGTGAGGCAGCGAAGGGCTGCATTTTGTACACATTTAGCTATGCTTCAGGCAACATTTCAGATGTTTTATATCGTGCATTAAAGAGGGCACTGGGTAATAAAATTGATATACGCATGCACATAAGGCAAGATGTTTGTGAAGAATGTCCGTGGATTAGTGTCACGGCCAGCTTGGCTGATCTCCCTCTCGACAGGCTTCAGTGGGTATTTTGATGACGTGAGATCTACATTTCATGGATTGACATAAAAGAGCTATAAACTGTATGGCAGTGATATACACCATTTTCACATTATGAAAAGAAAAAATCTGTATGATTATGTAAATTTTGACTCCAATGGTGAGGATTATAAACTTATATATTGAGGAATGTGTCAGGTCAGCCTATCATGTGAGGAGGATTTGCATAAACATCTGAGAAAGTAAATCCTAATTTATCTCGTGCTGTTTGCACATATTTTCATCCTTGTATAATGAATAATGGATCTGAATAACACAGTAGATCCTGCTTCTTAGTCACAAGCTGCAAAGCGAGTCTGGAGGAGTTAATGTTTTTATTCAACCTATCAGAGCTTTCATAGTTGCATTACCAGGAATACATAGTATATATTTTTTTATGTTTTCCCAATTTGAAACATTAATTTTTGTTATTATTATTATTTTTATTTTTGTATCATCATCCTCATCATCCTCATCATCATCATCATCATCATCATTATTATTATTATTATTATTATTATTATTATATCATCAGCGTCAGCATTATTATTTTCATTATTGTTATTATCATCATTATCATAATTATCAGCATTCCTATAATGATTATTATGGGGATGCAGGAGGAGCTGCAGCTTGTTTATTCATGTGGCAGTGCTTTTTATTCCCCAGTGGAGCCTCTCATGATGCGCGATGAACATGACAAGGTGACATCATCTTACATATTACATGACAGCCGGGCATGCGTTATGATAGTTTTATCACCTGCAAGACAGTTTTAATTGTTGGTATATGGTCTGTCATAACCTCTAAATAATCGTAGCCTTCGCGAACTGCAGATGATTTACAGCGTGATGGTGTTGGAGAAAACGATTTGCTCACTTGTGATGGTCCTGCTATGAACTTGTCATGTACAAAAACCAACAAGATGTACACATTCTCTCACAGGACATTGTACAGGATCTGCTGTGAGAGATGTGTTCCTGTGCTGAGGATTAGACTGATCATTCAACACATGTTTCAGCTTGCTAGGGGCTATATGTATATGTAAGTCTACAATGTGTCAAAAGAGATGATTGTTGAGGTTCAGGAACCATATTTACACGAGGAAGTCCTCTACCCAGGCTATGTGCTCAGAAGATGTAGCTAAGGTATAGATAGTACACACATGGTCAAGTGTTCATACCATAGTTACATTGCCTATTGGAGGTGTATAAAATCCTTTTAACCAATTTTTAGCCACAATGTACTTGATCCTGCCAGAAGTCTATAACTTGCAAGTGTAAGAAAGACAATAAACTATTTGTGAACATGTCTGATACTTTTCATACCAATATTCCCAATTTTGATATTTGACATTTCCAGTGTCAGACTGGACCCTTATCCTTCGTGGGTGATATTTCCCTAAAGTTTGAATCTATAAACTAAAAATAAAATGGGAAATATTACGTTCAGATGACAGTAAATGTCTTTTATTATTATATTTGAAAATATTTGCTTTTATTTCTTTTTCATGAATGTATGGACGATGAAATGATGGACTGAATGATAACCAACACTGTTCCTATAATGTCCAGATATCTTCAGTTACAGCCTCCACGTGCCACCCGGTCTCTATGATGGGGTCAAGTGTTGAATGATGTATGTGTGTGTGTGGAATGTAACTACTGCTCCCCCCACAACTAGCTACCATCATGAAGTATCTTCGGACAGTTTGTCATAAACACAGACAAATTACTGTTTTTTAGGGGGTGATGAATGTACGGACATGTAAGCAGAGAGCCAGGCCATCAATCAATCTTCTAAAATACAAACATTTCTGCTAAAGAAGCCAGCACATCCAAGTGTTTGTCTTGGGGGAGGAGGGGGTAGGGGTGCTGGAAGTTCATGTGAGACTTTTTTTCCAGCTGTAGGTTAGTTGGCTGCACGTTATTCTGAATTATGGATGAACAGAAAGACTACTTTGACTGCATGTGGCTAATATGCTCAAATACCCATCACAGCTCAAATACCGTTCAAAGCTCAAATACCCATCACAGCTTGAACACCCATCACAGCTTGAACACCCATCGCAGCTCAAATACCCATCACAGCTTGAACACCCATCACAACTCAAATACCCATCACCGCTTGAACACCCATCGCAGCTCAAATACCCATCACAGCTTGAACACCCATCACAGCTTGAACACCAATCGCAGCTTGAACACCCATCACAGCTCAAATACCCGTCACAGCTTGAACACCCATCACAGCTTGAACACCAATCACAGCTTGAACACCCATCGCAGCTCAAATACCAATCACAGCTTGAACTCCCATCACAGCTTGAACACCCATCACAGCTCAAATACCCATCACAGCTTGAACACCAAACACAGCTTGAACACCAATCGCAGCTCAAATACCCATCACAGCTCAAATACCCATCTCAGCTTGAACACCCATCTCAGCTTGAACACCCATCACAGCTTGAACACCCATCACAGCTCAAATACCCATCTCAGCTTGAACACCCATCACAGCTTGAACACACATCACAGCTTGAACACCAATCACAGCTTGAACACCCATCACAGCTCAAATACCCATCACAGCTTGAACACCCATCACAGCTTGAACACCTATCACAGCACAAATACCCACCACATTTAAAATACCCACCACATTTCAAATACCCATCACAAATCAAATACCCACCACATTTCAAATACACACCACATTTCAAATACCCATCACAAATCAAATACCCACCACATTTCAAATACCCATCACAAATACCCATCACAAATCAAATACACATCACAACTCAAATACCCATCACAGTTCAAATACACATCACAAATCAAATACACATCACAAATCAAATACCCATTACAACTCCAATACCCATTACAAATCAAATACCCACCACATTTCAAATACCCATCACAAATCAAATACCCATCACAAATCAAATACACATCACAACTCAAATACACATCACAGTTCAAATACACATCACAAATCAAATACACATCACAAATCAAATACACATCACAAATCAAATACACATCACAAATCAAATACCCATCACAAATCAAATACACATCACAACTCAAATACACATCACAGTTCAAATACACATCACAAATCAAATACACATCACAAATCAAATACACATCACAAATCAAATACACATCACAACTCAAATACTCATCACAAATCAAATACCCACCACATTTCAAATACCCATCACAAATCAAATACCCATCACAAATCAAATACCCTTTACTTCTCCAATACCCATTACAAATCAAATACCCACTACATTTCAAATACCCATCACAAATCAAATACCCATCACAAATCAAATACCAACCACATTTCAAATACCCATCACAAATCAAATACACATCACATTTCAAATACCAATCACAAATCAAATACCCACCACATTTCAAATACCCATCATAAATCAAATACCCATCACAACTAAAATCCCATCACAACTAAAATACCCATCACAACTAAAATCCCATCACAACTCAAATACCCATCAAAAATCAAATACCCATCACAGTTCAAATACCCATCAAAAATCAAAAACCCATCACAGTTCAAATACCCATCACAACTCAAATACCCATCACAAATCAAATACCCATCACAAATCAAATACCCATCACAAATCAAATACCCATCACAAATCAAATACCCATCACAGTTGCTTACAAGCCTCTGAGACTAGTCAGCACTCACTTTCACCCAGGTGGTCAGGCTTGCTGACTTGGTTGATGCATGTCATCGTATTCCAATTGCGTGGATAGATGCTCATGATGTCAATCACTGAATTGTCTGGTCCAGGCTCGATTATTTACAGACCACTGCCATATAGGTGGAACATTGCTGAGTGCAGTGTTAAACAACAAAGAAAGAAACAAACAAACTTAACTTGTGTTTAACAAAGCCCAGAGTGTAATCCTTTTATTGAAATCTGTTCGACAAGTAATATCCTTCAACATGGTTTTATAAGTAGATGTCTGTCAATATTTGTGCCTGTATGTACAGTGAGTGCAATCTGTCATCAACTCCACAAGTGATCTCCCGACTGATGTAACAATGAGATGTAAGTATGTAAGTAGGTGTCGACTGTCTGGCCCCGCCGGAGGCAGGTGCAGGTATGTTGGCTATGTGCAGGCCGAGCCCCTCACCTCAGGGGGCTGTCATCACTCACGCTGCAAGTCTCGTGTGAACCGTCATTAACAGTCTCCGAGGATGGGGTGCTTCTTGTGTAACAGTCAAGTGTGTGGGAATAGGCCGTGCTGGACAGGTATAGGGCATGCTGGGCAGGTATAGGCTGTGCTGGGCAGGTATAGGCCATGCTGGACAGGTATAGGCTGTGCTGGGCAGGTATAGGCCGAGCTGTGCTGGGTGGGTACAGGCCAC